CTTTAATTTCATTATAAAAATTAATGCATGTATTTGAGCTGGGGAACCTGTTTCTGTCCAACATTCATTTTCTTTTCTCCAGCCTCTTTAATTTAAGCCTTGGCCATCAGGCTTAACTCTGACTTTTGTTTATTTTTTAGCATTGGATACCTGAATGTTATTGAAAGGAAGCAAACATGCAGTGAATGTCACTTGAATTAGCATTTTGTAGCCAAAGGCCCTTCCTCCTTTCCTATTGGTTTAACCCATGTTAATATTGAAACTTATATCTTTCTTCAAAGCATCTGTCACTCAAATTCCAAGTGATTTAGAAAATAAAAGCTTTTTGGGTGAAACTGTAATCACTAAAGTTCTGACTGCTTTTGGTACATTTGTGAAGATCTCATGGTGCTACTTCTAAGAATTTTCTCTCTTTGTGGCACTGTAGTGCAAGAGTTATATAGCTGCCTGACCTACTCTAATCCAGAGGTTACATAAGACCATTGAAATCAGCAATATCACTTATTTTGGGATCTCTTTTGGGATATTGGAAATATTAGTATTTTTATAACTGTTACAAGATATCCTTAACTGAATAACATCATAGAGTAGATAAGTTCCTTCATATAAAAAGTTGGTAGAATATTAAAAGATAGGTGAACTGAACCAAAATGTGGCTCATAAAATATTTTCAAACTTGGGTGCCTAAAGTTAGGCACCTAAATTAATGGCAGATTATTTTTTCTTCTTCCACAGAAGCTGAACTGGAGGTAGTTCACTTTTGAAAAACAAGCCACTTAAGTGCCCAAATATTGATTTGAGTGACTAAAATTTGAAAATGCTGGCCCAAGTGACTTGCCCAAGGTCACATAGTAAACACTTTGCTGAACTGAGAGTAGAAAACTGGTAATTGGGATTCCTGGGTTCTGCTTTAATCATTCAAAACATTCCCTCTCACGCAAAATACAAATATTTCTTTTTGTCCCACTATACTCTGCCCGTTCCTCAGCAATTTCACAAAGAAATCTGCTCCTTTTAAAGCACTTCAAGAAAAAAAATCGGTCTGTAAAAAATGTAGTTCTTTAACTTTAAAAAAAATCTCTCCCATTGTTATCTGCTAACATCTGTTTTTACAGCTCATTTAGAAGTGTGTGTTCCTTTAGCTGTTTGGCATCTATAATTTTAATAAGCCTGTTGGCAAGGGTTAAGAAAGATCTCTCAAATCACTGGGTGTTTCTATTTGGCAATCCAGTATTTAGAGACAGAGCAGCCCTATAGCTCAATAGGAGTCTAGCAGAAAATAAGCATGTACCCCTGAATCTAGTAGAGTAAGGACTTTTCCCATACTCTGTACTATCTTTCGTAGTTTGATTATTGCTGTGTTTTTTTTTTTTTTTTAACTGTGATATCTTTGTAGTTTCTGCAAACTTAATGTGAAAATATTGCTGGAAGAGAAGGATAATTCTTAAATAAGTTCACAAATTTCTTTATGATGAGTAAAACAGTGATCTGATCTTGCCAGAAAATTGATATGACCACATATCAGAACTCTTGTTATATCAGAGTCTGGATCTGCCCTCTGATATGCATTCATTGTTCTCATTAAAATCAGTGGAAGCTGCATGCGAGTATTCAAATGATGAACTAATCACACAGAAAAATGAAGAGAATGGGCCAGATTCTTTCCTGCAACCGCACTGTGCTTGGCGGACGGAGAGGCATGGGGTTTCAGGGAGCTGGTTTCGGCTCCCTGATTCTTGTAGACTCACAGACTTTAAGGCCAGAAGGGACCATTGTGATCATCTAGCCTGACCTCCTGCACACTGCAGGCCACAGAACTTTACTCCAATGATAGATCTATAACCTCTGGCTCAATTACTGAAACCCTCAAATTATGATTTAAAGACTTCGAGTTTCAGAGAATACACCTTTTACTCTAATTCAAACCAGCAAGTGACCTATGTCCCATGGTGCAGAGGAAAACGAAGAACCCCCATGGTCTCTGCCAGTCTGACCTGGGGGAAAATTCCCGACCCCAAATATGGTGATCGGTTAGGGCCTGAGCATGTCTGCAAGACCCACTGGGCTGACACTGGGGAAAGAATTCACTGTAGAACTCAGAGCCTGTCCCATCTATGGCCATTGGAGATGTTTGCAAGATATTCTGATAACCGGTCTGAATAAGTACCAATGGCGAGGGCCCTATCAAATTCATGGTCCATTTTGATCAATTTCACGGCCAGAGGGTGTTAAAATTGGTCAGTTTCACGTGTTCAGACTCTTACATCTGAAATTTGAGTGTGTGACTGTGGGGCTCCCTTTTCTGGAAGCGGGGACTCACAGCTGGGGTGCTCTCAGCAGCAGGGGGAGATTGGACCCACATCCAAAAACCTCCTCTAGCTACAGGAACCTTTGGGGCCCAGCACTGGAGCTTCCTGCAGCAGGGGCATGCACTCAGAGGTGGGTCTGATCTCCCCCTGAGAGTGGCCGTGTAGGAGAAGGACAAGTCCTGTCCCTCCCCAGCCCGGCAGGGACTTGCAGCTAGGACCCCCCATCTGGGGTGCTCCCCACAGCAAGGGGAAGATCAGATTTCATCGGGAAGGGCTTATTTCACAGTCCGTGGCACGTGTGTGGGTGGGTATTGGGGCTCCTATGGATGATATGGCAAGGAACCAACCCCCCTTCCTTATAGCCCACTGTAACCCTCCTATGGGGTGGGGAGGAGGAGTGCATGGTAAGGTCCCAGCAATGGGTTGGCTGGAGGACCTGGATGGAAAATGAAGGGGGGGGGTTGGTGGAAGCCCCAGGTAGTTATGTGAATGATCATGGTGTTGTCTGCACTGCAGACTTTTATCTGCTGGGTAGTCCCAGACATCTAATAATAAAGTTGTGGCCTGATTAAATCCATATCAAGAGTCTCCTGTCCTTCTTTCGTTATAGCTGGTTAATGGGGCTGGGTTAGATAATTATTTAATGACAACAGACGTTGAGATTCAAAACGTTAAAGCTTTATAACCATTAAAACACAAATTGTCAACATCACCTATCAAAATATACAAAGTAAATATTTTTTTAAACTCTAAGTTCTCAAAGAACAATTTTCTTTGCTTATCTGTAAATTTTGATTATTATCGATGGAAATATTTTTTTATTGATTTGTGTGTGTGTTTAGTGAAATCCAAGCCTACGTATTAAATATTTCCAACTGATAAATTTCATAGACACGCTGCAGACTTTGACTCTGTCTTATCCTTTTAGTATGAGATATGGTATAGGACACCTTTTGGTATTAACAGAGATCTTCAAACTGTCAGCTATAAAAGGACTCTAAACTGCAAAAAGCCAGTGCATAGTGTCTGATATGTTCCTGTTGACCTCAATGGGATCAATTCCCAATGACATCAAAGAGTAGAACTGGGTTCCAAATTAAGCAGAACAAAAATAACTAACAACTTAATTACAACTTATTTTCTTCAAATATAGCAAGTTAAATAAGCTTCCTGGGAGTTTTAGTTTTTTCTAGTAAACTAGAAAGGGAAAAGTCACTTCAACTAGATTAAGAAAACGGACAAGTAAATTTCAAATCATAGTAACTCAAAGGCAATTTTTCTGCAACCTATGAAGGAAACTTACAGTTTCTTTTGCTATGAGGGTAAACTATGGAACTTTCAGGCCAGGTCAGTTTTTTTTTGAGTCAAAGTTGTAGGGTAGCAAAGAGGGTTTTGTAATGGAAATTAGTTAACTATGGATATGCTAACACACTTATGTAAAGTATAACATCATGTATCTAATTTTCTGCACTTTTAAATTCTCTACATGTATCATGATTATCAGTCATGATTTATTAATAAAACTAGATTAAATATTTACAAACCTTTTATTATAGCTTGCATGTTCATTTCAGATTAGAAAAAGGCCCATTGGGAGCAAATTTAAAACCTAGGTTACAGCAGAATATTCTCAAACCTTTTGAATAGATCTACTGAAAACTGACTGTTCTGTATCCAGTGTTAATTTAGCATACTAGTACAACCCCAGAGAATTAACATCATTCAGTCTAGAGTTCTGTTGCTGTTCCTTTATAACTCCCTCCAGCAGTTTTTCCATTTCTCTGGTGTGTGAAATGATCCAACAAAATTCTGTCAACCACGTGACACTGCTTTTTTGTTACTTTGCATAAGAGTCGCATATATGGCATATACTTACTTTTAGTGGGTTTTTTCCCCATGAATGATTTAAAATGATTGAAATTCTGGAAACTGCTGGGCTTTCTTTGCATTTATTATCTTAAAGAGTAGGGCATACGTATTCTACAAGCCATATGCTGTCAATATTGTAACAAGAGGCTCTTATAAAATTTCCCTTCCATAACCACAAAGCCTAGAGTGTTTGGGCTTCAAGAGAGGGAGGAAGGACTAGATAATCTATTAATTTGTTTTCCTATTTAAACATTTAAAATGATTCCAATAACCTGAGGTGGTAGGGAGGCAACATCACAAAGCAAGTTAACTAATATTGACGTACACTTTTTCTGCAAATTCTCCTGAAAATTAGTCGAGTATATTACTAGAATATCACCGCATACAATTTGTGTCTGTAGGGAAGCCCAGTTCCTCCTATTGGGTACATTCTACAGGGTGGGGTGGGGGGTGGTTGTGTGTGTGGTGGTTTTTTTTTTTTTTTTTTTTTGTGAGCCCCAGGAATGTAATATTCTGCAGAGATAATTAAGCAGTATGTAGAAAGGGAGCTCTGAGAGGGAGAGAAATCTCTCCAACTCTCCCTTCAGTTTGAGTTAGCAGAATTTTTAACAAGGGATTCTTGAGGCCCTCTACCTAGCATATCACTGGTTTACATTGGAGTCAATTGGACAGGTAGATTATATTTGAAACCCAATTAGCACTGCTTCAGACAAGAAATTGTCAGTTTGGAGAATGTATGGAATAGTTGAACAATCTGTTTAACATAAAACCCTAAATCACAATGTCTTTCTCTCTTTTCCCTCCGCCCCCCGTCCCCTTCAGGTGAAAGTTATGTATGTGCATCCAATGAACCATATCGCAAAGTTGATTATACCAAGAATGTCAATCCAAACTGGTCTGTGAATATTAAGACTGGGTCTGCTCGATCCTTGACATCTCTGACATCGATGAAAAGTGAAATGAAGGAGAGTAAAGATTTCATTAAACCCAAACTGGTGACTGTTATTCGGAGTGGAGTGAAGCCACGGAAAGCTGTGAGAATTCTGCTGAATAAAAAGACTGCTCATTCCTTTGAACAGGTTTTGACTGACATCACAGAAGCCATTAAGTTAGATTCAGGCATTGTCAAGAGACTTGTAACACTAGATGGGAAGCAGGTAAGAGAACAAACCATCTTGGGTATTGAATATTGGGTACAAATTAAGCTGCCTCTACTTTTATATTCTGTCATCATTTTCAGTTTTTGTTAACATCTAAGTTCTACCCTGCTTATCAATATTATATTGTAACAGTGATTAATTTTTCCAAAATCCTCCTTTATCATCCCAGAAAAGTAGGTTTGCTATTCCTCAACCAGCAGATATAATCACAATTTGGGAAGCTGGAATGGGGAAAAGGAAAAATTCGGGAGAGTACAGCCAATCCAGGCTTCCTGTCATCCTCAGCTCACTTGTTTCCTATCTCCAGTAAATGACTGCTTCGACCTACAGGATATTATAGTAGAAATTCACTAGTTAGTAGTGTGTGCATGTGGGAGGGGCGCCCTCAGGGAAAATGAAAATATCTTCTTGTAGTCTTGCTACCTCCTCCCCCTGCTTATTTATTTCACCTACCTGTTACCTCTTGTCTTTGACTTTGCAGGGGCTTTGGGTCTTTTTTGTTTGTTTGTACAGTGTCTGAAGTCCTATTGCGCTAATCTATTTCAGGCTGTTAGCCATTTCTATAATATAGATTATTAAAACTCCAGGGCACATTTATGACCTCAGCATATTAGCGATAGGGATGGGGACATTATGGGTAGTGATATTCTTACTGTGGACTGAGGAGAATCTTCAGTTCTTGGCCCTCTGTGGCACTTGGGAATGCTCTGAAACAGGGCAAAACACATTTGGCTGCTGCAGTAACTCTTCCTCATGCTCCTGGGAAGTGGGTATGGTCAGGCTATGATTGGAGTGGTAGTGAGGAGGAAGCAGTAAGTGTTCTCAGGCAGGGTAGGCAAACTTCTAGAAAAGCTTTCTCTTCTAATCTGCTGCTTTATTCCTCTGCTGCAGACCTGAGGAGAGCTGTCACTGTTACCTCTTCATTACTGTGCAGTTTTTCAACTGTGGAGAAGAGTAAAGATGGCAACTGCTCTGTTAAGGGAGGGAGATTCAGAATGTTACCCCAGCACAGACTGAGAACTGCCCTACAGGGCAGTAATGTATTTAGATGGCTGGGGACAGTGATATCAGTAACTTCATGCTGAAATTCTGCTTCTTTATATGCATCTCCCTTTCCAAAATGAAGCTGTGGAAGCAGATATTTTTACACAACCTGCTCATAAAAGCTGTCTCTTCTCCTTCCCTGTTCCCGCCCCCACAATATACATAAAGCATGGAGTAAACTAAGGTCCTTGGCTGATATAATTGAATTTGAGTAGGCTTTGCTCTATTGACAGAACTATCCTTCACAGTGCAGCGTTTGTTTTGTTTTTTCCACTTGTACATAGGGACAAAGGCAGCACTGAGCCCAAATGCCACTTAACCAATTCCTGACTTCTTTGCAGGTGCTGAATTAGATTGGCTCATCATGCATTTGAGGAAGAAGAGGTGGGGGGGAAGGAGTAAGTTTAGAGTAACTAGCTGTTTCCCAACAGGCAATGGTTCCTTCATTTCATGCTGTAGCAGTGTTTCTGCAAGCCTCAATTATTCTTTCTAGTGAGGAAAATAGCCTGTTGCCTAGCTCTAGTTCCACCTTAGACATATTCCTGGTGATTAGCTAATAGTGTGGGTGGCTGCACAGGTAACCCTATGGGGGCTCGGTCTTCAGGCACACTGATTAGCAGAAAGACTCCTTTGCTTTGACAGGTAACTGTTCCACCTTCCTAGAGGGGAGATTTGCTTCTGCCTTTCCTGCAGTAATGGCCTGACTCAAACTCCTATAACGCTATGTGCATACAGGTTTTTGTTTTTTGTTTGTCCTTTGCTGGTATACATAGAGGTTGGCACCAAGGGCATTTGTATGGTTTGGTAGATGGAAAGGTGCTTTGGTTCCAATTAGCAGTTGATGGAGATTTCTGAGCCCATTTTCCCTAATGTGGTAATTACTTATTCTTCCAAATTTGCTAGGAAGGCAATTCTTTTGTGTTGATGTCCTATTGCTGGCAAAACTTGAAAGGCAACTTTAAAAAAAGGCATTTTGTAGTTGTAAAATGTAACTGCTGTTGTGGTTTTTGTTTTGTTTTTGTTTTGTTTTCTTATCTGCTAGAAAATACTCTACTAACCCTTCTGGCCTCTCAACAATTAAGAAAAGTATAACTTGTGCTCTGCTAATTTGGAATTGATATAGGATGTTTGTTTTAAGTTAAGACATTCAGATATTAGTTGCAAAATAATAATTTTCCACACAACATTCCTCTTCATTTCAAAAGGAATCCTTAGTTCACTTGTTAATTTGTTTTATTTTCAGTTGAGAGATTTACACTCTGAGGGGGAAAGATTATTAAATTAGTGATCTTTTGAATAAACCTTCCATTTAATTTCAAGCAGTACATTGGAAAGAAAAGTCTCAAAATAATTGTCTAATATTTTTTATCTACACATCAGACTGTTATTCTTTTATTATAGCAACAACATGCCTATAGTTATGCATAGAGAAAAGCATTTTCTTGAGATTTGTGTATTATGAGAGTTATCTATTTTAAGCCATAATTTATAACATCCAATTAAATGTTCTTCATTCCTTTAAACACCAATGACCTGTAGTTATAACAATAAGATCTGGACTTTTAGATTGTTAGATTCTGTTGAGAGTTGAACAACTAGTTCCTGTTTCCCAGATTCTGACAGGGCAGCAGTGCAAGACAAAATGCTCTGGTAAAAGTACCCTGGCCTAGACTTTCTTTTCCTCTATTCTGGAGGATTTGCTGGATGTCTTCCTACAACCAGAGTGAGAGCTGTTTTTTTTTTTTTTTCTTTTTAATTCGTTTCTGGAATCCCTCCTTCCTACTCTGAAGTGAGGCTAGGCAGACTAAACTTTGTTTAGAAAGTTAATCCTCTGTGCCCCAAATAAAGGATGGAGTGTTTAGATCTTGTTAAAGGAGCTTAAAGTAGTTGCCAGCACAGACTGGATATTGCCCTACAGGTCAGTAATGTATTCAGATGACTGGGGACAGTAACCTTCTGCTGAAATTGTTTCCTTATATGTTCAAGAAAGCACATTCTGTTGCCAGCTGCATGGTATAGAAATAGAAAGCACACATTGGTCACATAATGGACATAAAATATTGTTTGTCCATCCTCATCTTGACTCACCTCTCTTTCTTTCTCCTTCGTACCAACTGCTTGGTGGTTTTTATTAACAATATTATTGGGAATTTCCATAACAATTCAACAAGACTAAAAAGTTGGGATCCTCCCCCAAAAGGTTGTCAGTACAGTATAACAAATTGTACTGACTGAAAGAACATGCCTCAAACAATAGGTAATCCTCTTAGCTCACGCTTGGTCCCTGAAAACCAATGTTATCTAGGTAGTTATCTCCATGCTGCTGAGTTGAAACAAATTCTCTTCAATGTTCTTTTAGGCCAGCTCCACATAAAGGTCCCATAATTTTTTAAACGAGTGTTAAGTGACGCTCTGTATGCAAATAAATGTTTCTAGTGGGAGGCTTGTCTTGGGGAATTTATGAAGAAGGCCAAATGTACCCATTAAAACAGCCTTGTTGATGTGAGATTAGGCAGCTTTTCTTGATGTCAGCAAGAAATGGATAGGCAAGAGCAAGAGAAGTAGGATTAGCAGTACAATTGGTATCCAAGATCTGTTCCTTCATTTCTCATCATCTGGTTTCGCCAGAGAATCTGAGAACTCCAGTATAATTCCCATCTGACTTGGGATCGATGCTTTGGCACAAAGCCTAATAAATAACCTTTCAGTTTACAGAACGTAGTGTAAAATGATTATTTTCTAGCTTTATAAAAATAATGGTGCCTTATGAGAGGGGAAAAAATGAGAATTTATAATGTTACGTTTGCGAATGTAATTTCAGCGAATACTGGTTACCTATGGGTGGGGAGGGAGCTGAACTAATGATAGTGCAGGGCTGTTTCTGTAAGACATTAATTTTTCAGTTTAAAAATAAACCTTTTTAATCATCAGTAATGCTTACAATGAAGAAACTAGGCATAAGTTAATATGCGTACCGCTGTAGTGACTCTCATCCCCTCTGTATTTTAAGCATATTTTAATTGCACTGTTACATTGCTGTCAGACATTTTACTGCAGGTGTTAGAAATTACTATAATAGAGATTTGCCTCCACATTAGCTGGCATTGTACATACTCAAAAGCTATTGAAAATTGGAACGCCCCCTCCCCATAAAAAGAGTGCTTTATTTTTCCTCTTACGTTTCAGGCTCTAAGCCAGTGTTGCCAACTCTCTCAGATTTATTGTGAATACTGTAGTACAGTTTTGGCCCCCTGCTTCAGGCGGACTCATGAAGATTCAATTTTGGAGGAACTGAGAGAGAGAGATGGAGAAACTCCCCCTCACATTGTCCTGTAGGCTAGGGCAATTTCAGTAAACTGGAAGCCCAGAGACCACAAGTTTTAGTCCCAGCTCTTTCACTGATTGCTAAGAGTTGTGAAGGGCACAGAAATAGTGTGGTGATGATGGACCCTCATGTGGCTACTGTGGTGGTGGTAACTCTCTCTCATCCATTTTGCAGATAGATGATTGCAAGCTTAGCTTTCATGTAAGAGGTGCTGCTGCTTGCCTGAGTGGCGAGGGAGACTCCCAGTCTGAATATGATCCAAGCAATCTTAATGCAGTTTCATCACTGTGAACCTGCCGCAAGAGAAGCTGGGCACACAGTCACACTTGTGGCTTCTCTGGCTGGTTGATTGCTCCATGAGGAGACGAAGGTGTCTGCCTGAAGACAAGGCAATAGTAGATGTATGTAAAGTGGTGTGGGAGTTAGCCTGCAGAAGAAACACTGTTGGGCCAGGAGAAAAATCTTGAGAGCTTGTGATTGGTCACTCTGCCTGATTGGTTCAAAAAGCAGAAAACGTGGAGAGAGAGTGTTTTCCATTTAAAAAGTTAATCATTTTTGTCAGTGTTTTATTACTACAATAACACATTTAAAAATTGAAGGATAATGGGCCAAAGCTTGCTATTGAAAT